GTGTGTGTGTGTGTGTGTGTGTGTGTGTGTGTGTGTCGATGATAATAGCCAGATATAACATATCAACCTATTAAAGTATTATAGGGTCGAATGTAATTATTATTGTTTAATCATTCCATGTAAATTGATGATTTGAGAAAATGAAGAAAAGCAGCGCAATGCTTAATTATTGAAAAAAAAAACGGTATATGTAGGCTTATTATTTTCCCTGCGATAGGCTCCAACTCCCTCTGACTCTGAACAGGATGAACAATACTGTATAGAAAACGCATTCACATCCACCACAGCGACACTGTTTTGAATTGATGATTTTTATACTTCAAACACTTTTTAAGATGTTTTGATGTAATGTAAACTCACACACACACACACACACACACACACACGCACACACGCACACACGCACACACACACACACACACACACAACACACACACACACACACACACACACACACAGCAGCCTCCTGCAGCTGAAACTGCATGGTCAGCTTGGTCCAATCATGAAACATGTGTTTCCCCTTTGCACCCACAAGATGATGTCACGCTCATGTGCTCCCCAAGTATAGCTACACTTCCAAACATGCTCACATCCTGACTCAGGTCTGTGTGATCTGGACTGAGTCGTCATTATTTAGCTTGCATTAGAAGAGACTACACAAGTGTAAACGGGACCCATATGTCCACAGCAAGACTCCTGTCATGTATAAATTATGATGATGATGATGATGTCGATGTTTTATTTCATTATTATTATTATTATTATTATTATCATTAAATGTATGGCTTTTTTGCCTTATAGGGGAAAATGAATGACATGAGAGGTTAAAAAAAGTTGTATTTCTAAACATTGATATATGTACGAGGCTCGATACCACTTTTTTATATCCGATACTGAAACCTTTGTATTTACGTGTGAGAGTGTCAGCTCATTTGCACAGGTGAACAGGCGCTAGAGGTATAATGTGGCTAATGCTAAATGCTATCTTGGTTGACATTTCAAAAGCTGTAAACAAGTCAATGCACTCACCAGTATCCAAACTTTTTTGTTTGCTCACGGCAGCTACCGGAAGCTGGCTGTGTCGTTAACCTCGCGCCACTCCCGCATTGTAACATCGCAAACTCGGGTTGCTATTCTGCCCACAGCAGGCTAATAATGCGACTACATTTCCCATGAGTCTTAAGACACACAAGCAGGAAGTCGTACTTCTGGTATAAAATTCTGGAATGAAAATGTAGATGTCCGCTAACCCGTGTCTTAGCATGTCGCACAAAGTGAAGTTGAAAATAAATGATGTCGTTTAGGTTTATGAATGAGATCGGACTGGTTCTAATAAAAACAATCCGATACCGATCCAGTCTTTTGGCCTGTATAGGACTCGATACCAAGGATCAAATCGGACCATCCCTAATAAAATAAATGCTACGTGTGCATGTATTAATATTTAATTTACTTTCAGTGATCTGATTATTTGCTTATTGTGCAAGTTGTGAAAGTAGAGCAGAATGTTTTTTTTTAATCAAATATATAATGAATGATTGAATGATGAATGATGGACTGAAATTCAATTGTACACACCTCCAACCTCTGTTTTGGTTTGGGTACTTCCTTCTCAAAACACATACACGAACATGTACACACACAAAGGGAAGATCATCAAAACGTCAACACTCTTGCACACTGGGCCAGAATAACTGGAAGCACAGATGAACAACACCATAATTGAGACTAATGACTGCTTGTTTTTTTTCTGACTATTTGTTGTTGATGAAAAGATAAAAGTCCAAAATGACTTAATTGAACCGCATATTTTTGCACTGTACTTATACTGTGCTGAGTCAAAGATTGTGTAAGAAACCACGGTGGTTTCTAGGCAAGTTACTGAGTAACAATGCATCAATATTTAATACTTTCTTCTTATATGATGTTTGAACACATTAGTTGTTAAGTTATGAGTTGTTCAGTTATTATTATTAGGTTAGTGTTATTACATTATGATTAATATTATTATTTCCGTTTTCTGTTAAAAAAAGTACAATGGAAAATGAATAGATCCTGATTATCTTTTAGTATGGTATTAGCTTTATAATATTGTTCATGTCTTTTAGCCTGAAATAACATATTGGCAGTTTTCATTGCTGTTTATTTATGGCATGAATGGCATACATCTTACATTGGGTGGTGGTTTTGAGAGGGGGGGCGGGGAAGCTTGGGGTTCAAAAGTAAAGAAAAAAATGTTCCCCTCTGCAACATGGGTGGCAAAACTGCCGCCCCAAGGGAAGAATGATGAAATGAGAGCCCCCATGCCAATCCCATGTTGCTTTTGACCACAAAACCAAAAGGCAGCAAAGAACACATTAAAAATTTAAGAGCGCAGTTTAACTGCTTGATTCTTTTTAACTGTACTTAAATGCAATAAGAGAAATGTCCAAGGACAGTCCGCAGTGAATCATCACATCACATGCCGATCGGTGTTTGTAAAAAAGAAAAAAAAATGAGAAGGCAACTTCCACAATGGGCCTCTGTGCAAGCTAAGACGGGTCATCAATCAGGCCAAGCAGCTTGGGGCTCCAAAAGCACCCAACACTCTTACACTAAGGAAATCTAAACTTCTTCTTCTGTAAATGTTATTGTATGAAATTGAAGTTTATCGGGTGTGAGCCTTCCGAGGCAATTAACCGAATTAGTCAACAAAGTAGCACAAAGCCATTTCCGCAGTATGGAAGCGCATGTTGTGCAGACTTGAAAGGAATGTAGAGGTGAAATGGTTGATACTTGCTCCACAGAAAGCGAGCAGGTGGGCGGGGGGGTTGTAGACTTTTTGCACATGCAAGGGCCTCTTGGATGGTGGATCCCAGCATGTATGGAAGTAAATATAAGCTCACATTGGAAAAATTAATTCATACTTGCCCAAGAGCGGGATGTGAAATAAGATTCAAGAGCTCATTTCCTAGATAAGAGTATTTTCCTTTATGTTCTGGCGCCTCAGCTTCATATCACCGATTTGAAAACACAAACCAAACATCCAGTACGTCATTTCCTTGAATAGATGTCATATCTCTTTAAAATAACAACTCGTCATGAATATTTGTTTTCCCCTTGAGAAAGTTTAGACCTTTAATTTGTAGACTATCATGACCAATGAAGAGTTCACAGCCGAGCTCCGTTGCTAACTACGTCTGCCACATAGTTCTGAGGTTTGGGGTTTGAATCTCAGCTCCTGCCTTCCTGTGAGGAATTGACATTTTCTTCTTGAACGAGCAGGGTCTTTCTCTATATACTCCATCTTCCTTCCTATTGTTTCATGAACCCTTTCAGGGACAGCGGTCACTACGGTGGACAGTTTATCATGTTATCAGGTTACAGGTTATCATTATTGGTGCATGAAAGGGTTAACATCTTAAAGACAACATCTTGTAGGTTTTTGCAACTTTCGTGTCTCAGTGCCATTTTCAAGGTGTCGATTCGGCATTCAACATCAAACATTATCGGGCCCGGGTGTAAACCATTTTGGATTTAACTGTGGATATGGATATGTATCGAAGCATTGTACTGTGTTGGCAATTTGTTTCAAAGATGTCAAAGAAAGTCAAGATCGTCACTGTCTCTCCATCGCGTTTAATCCAGTATCTACAGGTGGGCTCACTGAGCAAATGACTAAGACTAAGCATCACCCATATGTTCAGTTTAACCTTTTGTTTTCAAATCACCTCCCAGCATCGCAAAAGCCAGGCAGTCCCGAGATACTAATCTTAAAATAAAGACTGCAAAGGAGACAAGCAATAAAAAGAGAAGAAATAACACAGCTGTAAAGCTAGCCGGCCAGTTGCTATATAATGTGATACGTTTCTCCACGGTGCACAAGTATAAGGCTCCCTCAGAATAGATGCTTAGTCATTTTTACAGTCGAATAATGACTACTCTATTTGGAAATAAAGCAAAACAAAGTCGAATAGCTAATTCCCTTTGTCATTTGGAGACTTTCTGAGAATGTTCCCAGCTGCCAGTCACATGTTCAAATCAATAATATGTCCTTTTATAAAGTGAAGATTAAAAGTGAGATCACAACCAGTCAGGTTGCAGCTTCTCCATCTCTCCTTGCTGTCGTCGTATCACAGTCAAGATTTTGGACCACGACTCAGATATGGTGTCAGTCAAGCAAACAGGGTTAGCTTTCAATCAGTGTCATGGTTGGAAGAACAGGCCGGCCTTTGTTTAAAAAAAAAAAAAAAAAGCTTTAGTATCAGAGTAGAGAGAAGCCATTGTGCTTGAGAAACGCCTCCTTATGGTTCATGTCCTCAGATCGTAACGGATCCTCAGCCTCGGTTGAACAAATGCAGCCACAACTATACATGCCTTGCACTGGAGCTGCTCACTGGAAAGTCTACTTGATGAGATCAAGTCGACGGGAAAACAAGCATTCACGGTATGCTTCCATTTTAAAGAGCAGCTGTTGCTTAAAATCCAACAGTAGTCCACGTGATATCATCCACTGTGACTCATTAATGATTTTGAAATAATGCTCATTTTCTCTCATTGCATCCTGCAAAACTCAACATTCAAAAAACATGCTTTGACCATCAGTCTACAGCAGGGCCCAGATGAAAACCAAAATAACCACAGCACCAAAAATGACTTTTCCTTTTTTTTAATCTCACAAAAATGAATGCTTCTGCTTCCTTGAAGATAGACAGAATATTCTAGAGGGGGAAAAAAATAAACCCTGAATGCACAGTTCTCACGTTACAGACATCTCGAGAATATTTCACAGGTCATTTTAGGCACTTGGAATCATAAACCAAAGAAAAAAAAAATTCCCTTTCTGAGAAAAATACATCTTTGGTCCAGTATTTTACAAAAATTAAAAGCCAGAGTATGAAATAACATCAGCTTTAACGTTTGTCTCCTAAAGATTGTATTTCGATAAAAAGCTTCACAAAGACTTTTTTTTTTAACTTTAAATAAAACATTATCGCTACATCTTTAAAAAAAAAAAAAAAAAAAGACCAGCAATCTCACGGACGTTGCGTGTTGGCTCAATCGTATTTACTGCAAAGCAGGATTGTTTTGTGTGTTGGTTTCAATCGAGTTGCATTTGGCAAACTTGTTTGTTTTTCTCTGCGTGTTCAGTCCTCTTTCTGCAAGAAGATACAAAAGCAATCCATCTTTGGGTACGTTCGCCTCAGCTACAGGGCAACCATTTCTGATAGGATGCGGCGCACGGCGACACGAGCGGCGCCTGCACGTGTGCGATGTAGTAATTGCTGAAATTAATGTCCTGCACGTAGGGCGCCGGCTGGTAGTAACACGTGACGTTGGTCACCGTGGGGATGGCATTCTGCTCGGCCAGCACCTTCAGCGCCAACATGGAGATGAGGCTGAGCGTCTGACGCCGCTCGTGACCCATCAGACAAACGGTGCTCTCGTTCACCACCTGGTACAGCGTCATCAGGCACTCGTAGCGTTTGTGCTCCATGCCGGCAAAGTGGTTTTGGAGGTAAGCCTCCAGTTTCCTCTGCTGCTCGCCAATGTCGGAGAAGTCAATGAAGAAGCGAGAGCACATGTAGCGCTGCATCTGCTTCATGTCCGACTCGGAGGCCGCTCGGAAGCCCCGTACGAGCAGGTGGCAGTACTTCAATAAGCCGCCCCCTCGGATCTCTTCGGGGCTTCTCGTGGCTATGGTCCTCTGACACAAATGATCCATGGCCTCCTGGAAGTTGCCGTACACGCTCTCGCCGACCACCGTGGGATGAAAGCTTTCTGACATCGGCGTCTCTGAGCAGCGGTCAAACAAGAGCAGAGAGTCGAGGCAAATCTGGAAGGAGTCCACGCTGAACTCAAACTGCCGCCTTAAAGTGTCCACAAATTTCAGCTCCACATTCTTGCCCGTGTTGTTGGACAGCGAGATGAGGCTCCAGCGGTCCGCGTCGTTACAGACTTTCACCAGTTTCTGCACGTAGGCCTCCTTGAGGGTGAGTGCTGTGATTCGCTCCCTGGACACTTCAGGGGGCAGGAAATCAAACAGGCAGTCCAACACCACATCCTTCACCAGTCGGAAGGCCTGGTCGTCCTTCAGCGACACGCCGAAGATCAGGTCCAGGTCCTTGTAGCCCAGCCCGGTGTCCTGGTGGAGCACGTGGCTGGCGGCCGAGCCGTTCAGCCGCACGTCTTTAACGCACACCCCTTGATCCTCCAGCCGCGCCCGCACCACCTAGACGAGACGCACAAACACACACACGCAACAGGGCATTAGATACGTGCACGGAAATACTGTACAATGAAATGGGCTGCCTTGTGAAGGCCAGATCAATACTCTTCTCTCAAAGTCCATTTCATCAGCATCGACTTTCGCCTAAACGAATGCAGAGGAGGCCAAACACGGCGCAGCAGCCTCATACTGTCATCTTATCACACGCACAGACTGTGACACGTATATGTTTGGGAGCGCCCTCCTCACTGGTGGGTAGTTGATGAGGAAACCTTTGCTTTGTGGCTTGACTTCTCAGCTTGTAGGGTCTTTAAGGGTCATGTGTGTTTCCTTTCCTCTCCTCTCCTAGTGACCTGGTTTATGGTTCAACAAAAGTATTTTGCCACATATGAAGAGGATTTACATCTATCTATCTATCTCTCTATCTATCAAAAGGAGAAGCTTATGATTGAAAGTCTACCACATCATGTGGACCTATTTATAAACCGTATACTCAACTATCTATGGCAAGGAAGAGCTCATGATCTAAAAAGCAAACCACTTCATGTGTCATCTCTCTGTGGAAAGGAATGGCTCATGATCCAGTCACGATCCATCCATCTGTAAAACTACACGGGATTCATCACGGGTTTTCATTACAGACAAACGCAGACGAACACAATCCTAATACTCCCCCCGTGGCACTGACCCATCAGATTAGAGTGTGTCAACTCTCTCTTATGGTGATTACATTAAGACCTATTTAACTATTCCAGGTCAGCTTCCCGAAGAAAAAAAAAAATCCACTTTTTTTTTCTAAATGCAAGGAAACCCCTCACAGTTCTTCACAGCTCATGATGACTCAGCCCGGGGGGAACGTGAACTCTGCCTGCAGTTGCACCGATGTCACATCCAAGAATGTGGACGCTCAGATTTACATTAGGCAACGTTTCTGCAGGGGGCTGCGTGTGTGGCTCGCAGGCAGGCGGTGGAGGTGAAACCCCAGCAGGGACGAGACGCATGTCTTTCCTTATATAGTAAAAGACCATTGATAAAAGTGACGGCCACGACTTGCGTAACAAAAGCTGGCTTGCTCTAAACGAACCAAACAAACACGTCTACATTATAAAACAATATTTCTTTGACAGTAACACCTTGGGACGTTTCTAATCCTCTAACACTGCATGGACCATCATAATGGAATTCCCACTCTACCCATTGTTCTAGATAGTCATGACAGGACATTTATTTGGAAATATTCGAGACGTGATTCAAAAACCGTGAATCATTTCGTCTTGGGGTCCGCACAAAAACATGCGTCTCCACTTCGGGGGGGGGGCTTCAACCTGAATTTAAGCTTCCTGTAACACTCAATGGAGCATTCATCTTTCCAAAACCACAAGCATGAGCTCAGGGCTTCATTCACTCACTGAGCTCATCGTCAACATGAGAATGAAGTGCAGCGTGACTATGAGGTTTGAGATGGACCATAAGTGGACTTTTGACTCATGAGAAGACACTTTGCAGATAGCCAACGGTCTGTACGCCCCCCGCAGCCCCCCCCCCCACCCTCCTCCACAAGGGGAGGGAAAATTGCATAAGTCAGCCACTAGAAATGGGGGGAGGTGGGGTATTTGAATTGCAGTTAAAGACAGTCTCTGTGGTTCGTGTGTAAAAAGATATAATCGTGAAGACTGACAACTCCCGAGGAAATAAATTAAACAACAGAAACGTGATGGGAATAAGCCTGTAAGCCGTCACGGAAATGTTATTCAAAAGGAGCAGGAAAGAAGTGATTCGAATGCTCTGTGTATAAATGTGTGATTTAATGACACGCAACGTCGAAAACTTTGATACCCAAACGCCACTTCACAGAGAATTTCCATTTCTCTTACCTGAACAATCTGTCGGGGTCTCATGGACAACGTGGGGAAGTTTCCCCGGCCGTGGATGGGCACAGCTTCCCCCAAGATGGAATCCAAACGCTGCACCTGATCCCAGGACAAAACGCAGAAACGCTGGCTCTGCTTCGAGGCATCCCCGCACTCCATGCCGATCAACAGCCCCGCAAGACACACACAAAAAAAAATGAAGCAGAACAAATTCCGGTGGGATCTTTCACTAAGTGCGTCCCGTTACTGTCGGATGGAGTTCGGGGAGGAAGCGTTGGGTCAGCTGGTCGCCGAGAAGTCCGCCCTACGTGCTCAAGCGCCGATTCATAAGGAAGGTCCCATGTGTTTCAAAACTCCTCCCTCATTAACATACGGCGCCCTGATTGGTTGGCGTTTTTTGGTCATTGAGCAAAGCCCTGGTGGAAACACACTGCTGACGTCACTGCTCCGCCTCCCTCCTTCCCCACTTTCTCCACAAGGTATTGACGACACTTTCGAAACTTTCCGGACTACGCTTAATTAAAAAAGAAAAAAAAAAAAAAGAAAACCCTGGCTACAAATATAGATAAATACTTTGATTATAAACTTGTTTTGGAAACGTCTTAGTAAATCGTAAACCTCATACATTTTCCTTCTCAGTGTCAAAGATTACGCAATCAGATTTAAAACACACGCACGCACACACGCACACACACGTACACGCTCACGCACACACGCGCAGCCTGTCTGCCCATCCTCAAAAGTGCATTGTGGACCTGATGGACGTTGAAATAGTTCAACGACGACAGTTGAAACTCAAATGATATGCTATAGCGACAAATTTTTATCCAATTGAAACTGCAGTGGATAACTTTTATTTCTTTAAAAATATGTCATTTTACTGTATTTTTCAGTGTTCTATATTGTATATTTCAAGTCGGACGACATTCCTGCATTGCCAAAAATGACGTATCGGAAATGATGTATTTTGTCTCACAAAAGGCGCAGCGCGGCCAATAGTCTCCAGTTTGTAAAAAAGCTAACTTCACCATTCTCACTTCACACTGCTATATTACCTGTACCTGACAAAAGAAGGTAAAAATCGTAGATGTGGTTTCCCTTACCATCGAGTCACAAACCTTGAATGTTGCTGTCGTTGTTTTCCGGAGCTCATCAAAATGATAATAACTGTACTTGAATCCAAATGTACCGTATTTATCTGTGACACCCGCTCAACATGGCAGCCTCAGCCCTCGTCTTACAGCGTAGCTTACTGGTCACTGGGTTCCCAAGTTCATGGCGAACACGACACAAAAAAAAAACTTTCAAAAACAAGGCACACTATATTTAAAAATATATATATATATATTAAATGTGGAATGACTTGTCAAGTCATGGAGTTGAAGTGAAAGTCGAGTCTCATGATTGCCAAGTCAAAGTTACGCCGAGTCTTTCATTATTCCATAAAATAAGCGACTCGAGTCGAGTAAGATGACCCTCGTCCCCCAAGTCTACCGACATAGCCTACTGAGTTAGTTGTGGTTTTCAGAAACATGGGCAGTTATCCAATGAAAGACGAGATTAGGCGAGCGTGCATTTTGACAGAACGCTGACTAACACTTTTATCCAGTTTCACGTCTTCAACAAAAACTCATAAACCTCTCATCATGATTTCCTCATCCACGAGCCATGTTTACCTTATCACCATCACGTTTTCGGCAATGCAAAAATCGTCCACCCTCATCATCGTTGAACTTAAACAAATTCATTCAGCCATTTTCAACATCACTTAACCTCATTAGAGTCGCGCGTGAGCTGGAGCTATTGTTGGGTAAAATGCACGGTACACCCTGGACTCATCGCTGAGATTGCCAGTCAATTGCAGCATTTCCCCGGAGTGATCTACACAATAATGCAATGACATCATCACGGAATGGCAGTGTTATTTATCAACCGATACATTGAACATCCCCTGAAAATTGCTGCGTGACCCTGTGTTATTGAAGCTATTCAACGTCTCGCATGGCTGAACAGTCTTACAAAAAAGCTTGCTCTGAAGTTGTTCCAAAACAACTTGCTACTTAGGCAAACTCCATGCTCAACCTCTATTGACTCAAGGGATATTTGCAGAGCATGCTGGATGTTTTTTTTTTTTTTTAAACGTCTGCAACGCCCTGCTGCATGACCATATCTGCAGGCATCTTTGGCACCACATGGAAGGGAAGAGTGTTAAAAGTGTTGCTCTGCATGCCAAACGTCTTCATTTCTCCACCCTTTTTATAATCACTTCCCCCCAACCTGTTGAACAAACAAGACCAGCATTGGATTCATAAATGTATGTATTTATAATTTTTTTTAGTTACCTATTTACCTATTTATCTTTTAAATCATTTGTATTCCATTCCGTGTACATAATAATAATTAAATCCATCCATTTTCTACACCGCATTTTGTGTGCTGGAGCCTATTCCAACTGACACCTGGCAAAGTTGTGGTACACATCATCTGAAGGTGGAGATCTTGCAGTTTCTTATCAACCTATTTGCATGCGCCAATATCCTGCATGGATCCCAGTGATTCTGTTATCCTGCAAGCATGTACAACGCGAGTTTCTTATGCAGTAAAGTCAAAGGAGCGAGGGGAGCCACTTCCATTGGTCGGGAAACAAGTCAGCTGTGTTCACTCCCGTAACGGCGCAAACGCCCATTTGTGTCTGCGTGCCTCTACGAAAATACCATAAGAAAGAAAACTCAAACCATGCGTACAGTTAGACTGTGCTTTGCACTACACTTGAGCTAGGCACGAAAATAGAATCGTCCTACTCACATTCACAACCAAGGACAATTTAGAGTCTTCAGTGAGCCTAACATGAGTGTTTTTGGAATGTGGGAGTAAAGTGGAGTACCTGGAGAATGGGGGAACATGCATACCCCACACAGGGAGCCCGGAGCCGAGATGCAAATGAATAAACAATTATAAGAATAATTTTTATTGTTCAAAATGCAAAATCTACTGCCCAGAGATTTACATGAAAACAGATCAAACCAAAAACTGCTCTTGCATGCATTTCAAAATATTAGAAGTCTAGTTGATGGATCAGCAAAAATATTTGGACGACTCACTTTGTTCTCACTCTTATTAACCCCTTCAGGCACCCTGTAGCCTGATTACATGATAAGCTGTTCACTGTAGTAACCACTGTCCCTGAAAGGGTTAATTGCAATACACCTTTTAGTGAAAACCAGAAACACAAAGTGTATGCATGTAACTACCAGATTGACATTCATTTTCTAGCCCGCTGTTCAGAGTTTCTGTATACGCCAAATGTACTATATGCGCGGTAAAAGTTGCTTTGCTTTCTTTCCTAGACATGGACGAACCACATCTTCATCATCAAATTGCATAGTATGACCATGTGTTCAAATCACAATTACCTTGACTAGGATAATACCTAGACACTGTCTTGATAGACACTGTCAGAGAGATAACAATTAGTTTGCAATGGTCATGCTGCTAGCTTCCTACGACGGCACCAATCAAAAAGTATTCCTATTTTTGAAAAGAACGAATTTGGGATAAAGTTCCAAACATGTTCATGTAACAATCTAGATTGGTGGGTAAAAACGATGACGTTATGGTACATAGATTCTTGAGTGTAAAGCAATTCTATGCTCATGAAGAAACTGAAATGAGTTTGTTATATTTGGTAAATAGTGAATGGATTTAAACAGTGAACAATTTTAAAGTCGCGTTCGCACTTTGTGAGGTTTAATTTTGTTTAAGCCAAATATGCATTATGTCTGAAGGAGTGACTCATTTCATTATGTCTGGAAAGCACAATGAACCAATGAATCATCTAAAAAGCGTCAAAGGTAACAATCAAGTTGCTTAATGACTCCAAAGTATCCATTATGAACTTCAAGCAGCAATCCACCTCTAACTTTGTTGTTAGGTAAGTACTTTTTTTTTTTAACATGTTGACAATGTCAAACAGTAAATGCTATGACACTGATAGTAGCATTACACACACACACACACACACACACACACACACACACACACACACACACACACAAATCATTCTTATTATTATTACATTTTAGGTAGTAGCAGATGGGCCAAGGAAGGATGCACTGCATTTTGGTGAGGATATGGATAAAGGTACAGGCATAGGAAATGTCATCATTTCAGGATTGATGGCATCAATGGAACTGCCCCCCAAATACATTTGGATCATAATGGCGCAACAGTTCGGAGAGTTCCGCGCCATAATAAGTGATACTCTGGTTAGGAACAAAAACAACTCTAATGGTGACTTTAGACGTCTTCATAAAAGGCAAAAATTAAAAAAAAAAAAAAAAAAAAAAAAAAAGATTCAATTTAAATAAAATTTGGAATAGCCCGAGAAGAAACTGACTTAATTTGTAAGGAATGGAACAAATGATTAAGACTCTTTTCCTAAAGCTAACCTAATTAGTTGCTCATTTCTTCATTCTTTTCCTTTGGCAGCTTTAAATTCCTCTCATGAGTGTTTGGTTCATCTTATTCCAATGCACAGGAACGGGTTATGGGTACAAGTGAATTTGGTCCTTCTCAAGGAATAATGTAGGACTCTGAAGACAAAATGAATGCACTAGCAGGAATAAATAAATATCAATGAAGGTGCACTATTCCAATTGGGATCATTTGGGGTTGTCATGAGCTGAAAAGATTTGGGAAGCAAATGTTTGAATACAGCCTCGTTGCTTGGTTAATCATCTAAAAGTTTGCACGCAGGACGATAAAATATGTGGAAGGTGATACTGTAAAATTCACTGAAATCCAGAAGCTGTCTGTGTTTACACTATGATAGGTTGCAAATAAAACTATCAAATGCTGCTCGGCAATAATCCCCATTTATTGGCCTTTACTGCATATAGCATTAAGTTGACAAAAACAATCATTCCTTCGCTCATAATTGTGTAAGGGTTTATGGTGAAAAGGCTCCACCGTATTGACCTTTAAGCTTCTCTTTTTCCAGATCCCTCCCTGTCTCACATAACTCATACTTGTCCTCTTTCAAGTCCCGGACTTTAAAGTGCATTGATTCTTGCTGGAGAGAAGCCAAGATGAAAGCCACAAAATGAAGGCGAAAGCCCCCGTAATGATAATTCCAACACAAAGGCAGACATTATGAGCTGACTGTTTTCTTTCCCAATGAGCAATGCAGGGGGTCAGAGTGATTTCCTCCTTTAAAATGTCCCACATATTAAAAGAATAAAAATAGAAAAATAGGCACTCCTATCAATCCCCACGGCACATAAGTGCACCTGTAAAATGTTTACGAGGGAGTGAAGTTCATTTTGGGATTGACTGGTGTTAGCTTTTAGTGACGCTGCAATAAAACAGATACACAGAAACACATGCTCTTAAGCACTTGAGCACACACACGTCATAATATTTTCCTCAAACATGTGCGCACATCCAGGAGGACGGGACTTTTTGGTCCCCATGGAAGATTTTGCTCCTAATCCTCACAACATCATCAAGTCACCATGGCAACAGCATCCGTCTGTGTCATTTGGACAGATGTGTTGTCAGTCTGATGCTTGCGGCAGGTGCCGGCGCGAGACGACCACTACGTCATGACACTATAAATAACGCACCATGTGGCAGCTGCGCATCCTGGGAAACGAAACGTACATTTCACCTGAATGTGAAACACTTAGTGAGAGCACAAAGACGGTAGATAAATATTAAGCCACTTGACATTATCAGGTTTCTTCATTGTCCCATGGCGGAGTGAGTCAGGCCATGTACACACCATCATGAGCGGTTTTACATTTACCATGCTTTTTGAACATTTGTCCACGTACAAACCGAAGTTTTAAGTCAATAGAAACCATGTTTGGCAATGAACAATAAATGGATGTCAACCCTGGCGGTTCGGGCAGTGGGGGCAACATTCTATGAGGATCTCTTTTATTTTTGTTCAGAAGGGGTCAACAGAGAGCAAGGCGCACTTCATAGTGCTAATTTTTATTCATGTTTCCGGGCAACGACCAGTCCGTCATCTCGGAAAGCAGTGGGCAACATCGTCGGTGTGTATCCTGTATTGTTGCTAAAGGGCGGCCATCAAGATAAAAACATAGCAGTCAACTAACATCTCTCTCCTGTGGTTGAGAGGAAAGAAATGTCATCTATGCTGTATGTTGCACAGAGAGCACGTTTGACTTTAACTTGAACTTGAACAGGGTTGCACCACAGGACACTTTCATGCACTGCACCGCTGAAAAACGGCGGCCAAGAATAAGTTTTGTTATTTTTCACAAGCTTCACGAGCTAGAAGTTACTATCGTTCACTCAACAACCGGCAGTCAGAACTAGCAAGAACACGGACGGCAAGGTTCCAAGTTAAGACTATACCGATCAGCAAATGTTGGCTAACTTCATGAATTATAATTGCAACCTGCCATGCTTTTATGTCATATTGAGTTACTAATTGCATGCTTGAAGCTAGCATGAGCAAACCTCGACACAAAACCATGCAAGTCTGCAACAGTAGCCTCTGATGATGTTATTTATAGACTGACTGCCTGAAATGTGGCGTAGTCCTCTCTATTGTTTTGTGTCTATAGTTCAAAATGAAGACGTACATTGACACGCACATGTTGTCTTACTGCATTTGCGTGTTCGTGCCACTTTTGTATTGTTTTATTTTATTACAAGCATTCATGATTTCTTTTTCTTGTTATTATGTAGTGCATTTGTTTATTGTATTCCAAACACCTAATCAGGGAACTACAGGGCTGCAAATTAGCTAAACTTTGACATCTTCACTTGAATGTTGGAACATTTTGTCTTTTTTTTTTTTAAAGGCTGTATGTTGCAGTATATTAATCGTCTCTTTTAAAGAAACAATCTCATTTTAATTTGTCTTTTTTTTTTTAAGGCTGTATGTTGCAGTATATGTATCGTCTCTTTTAAAGAAACAATCTCATTTTAATTTCAATCTCATTTTAATATCAATTAATACACACACAAACGTGAAGCAGGCAGCTGTTTTTTTATCACAAACCTGATGATCCAGTGGTTGTGGATGCACATACCTGCATAATCACTGTCTGCGTCTCTCGCGCTGGATCTCATGCCCAGCCTCTTGACTCTCAGGATCTTTATCTGTCTCTCCTCCCCTTCATGTGTCCTCTCTCTGGGTCTCCCAAGTCCTCTGGTACGGAAGAGGGGAATTGGCAATGTGGAGTAAATATTTTTGACTGGCAAATACGTTTGAACGTATTTGCAAGTACATGCAAAAGTATTTGCAAATATGTCCAAACGTACTGGTACTTCCCAATACGGTCGAACGTACTTGTAGGCTAAAAATACAGAATTTTTTCCCATAATGCCATGGGGCGTTGACTTGGACATGCACAAGTAAAAAAAAAAAAAAAAAACTTTTTCCCCATAATGCCATGGGGCGTTGACTTGGACATGTGCAAGTAAAAAAAAAAAAATTAAGCCTTTTTTTTCTTTTTTTGCATTTGGCCTACATTATAACAATCTTTTGGAACCTTTAATGAGTAAACACTGTTTATTTGTAATTTTTACGGTTTCATTATTATGTGTGCAATGCGTGATCTCCATTTGGCATTTTTTTCCCATAATGCCACATAGTACTGCCTGGCGTATGTGCATACCCCATGGCATTAGGGGGGGAAAAAGCAGAATGGAAATTATGGGCTGCAAATTTAATAAATCAAGCTTAGCTTTAGTTTCTTTTAGTTTTTAACATTTAGCCAAAAAGTACATTCAAACATACTGCATTTGCAAATAGATTTGAATGTTTTTGAAAATACATTTTAAAGTACTTGCAAATATGTTTGAACGTATTTGCAAATATGTTCTGTGGTGCTCATAACTTGCTGCTCTTCAGCTCTCGTAACACCAACATCTGGCAAAATGTCATTGCCTGCCTCATTGTTATTCCTCTATGTGCTGCAGAAATATTTATTTTCTGTTTGAACTATAGAGAAAAAGCAATAGAGAGGAACCCATATTTCAGTAACCCAGTCTATAAATAACAATTATTATGATAGGATACTGTTGTAAGCCTGCTTGGTTTTGTGCTGTGGTAAAGTTAATGTTTAAAACTAATGTTAGCTAGAAGCTACATGTCTGTAGCTAGAGTATAATAGTACGGACATCTGGTCTCCGTGTGATGACAGAAAAATGTGTTTATCCGACAAGATTTGGAAAATACAGATTTTCAGCTTTAGAAATACATTGAAACCGGAGATAAACTTTTTTTATTGTGGGTGTTTTGGTCTGTGTCTGTTACAGTTTTGGAGATATGACATGCCAAATGAACTTTGCTGGAGTCAAAGAATTTCACATGTGCAATATGAAAGAATATCCTACATATAGATGACACATATGAAACAGCTGTCGTTAAAGGCTAACACTACATTCTTTTAGTGTTATTTTTAGAAGGACTGAACTGTTCTGTAACTGTTTCATATCTGCCATCGATACATAGATCGTCTTTCACATTGGATATTTAAAATTCTTTGACTCAAAAAAAAGTTCATTTGGCACATCAAATCACCAGAAATGTGCAGACAAAAAAAAGACCAAAACATAATTCTATTTACTGTAGTGAGATGTACATACCATGTGCACTGTATATGTTTATGTAGTATCTCTTTTCTCTCCTCAACTGCTCAACAGCCTGCCATGACTAGATGGGAATAGAAGGAAAGATCATTACAATGTATTATGTGTTAAATTGAAAACTTACATTTAGCATAACAATATTTGGAACTGCCAATTGAAATAATGAAAACACTATAATATTGGACTATGCTATTACAGTCATGCATGGAGTGGTTTTATCTCATTTGGTTCAATCGATTCCGCGCTATTCTTAAAGTTAATTCAGTGCATACTGTAGGCCAGTCCCAAGCCTCGGATAAATTTACTTAGTAACAATAACTTTTACAATAACTAACCAATTTCTACCACTACAGTATGCAGTTTGCTTGGAAGCTAAGCTAAAAAAAAAAAAAAAAACATCTTCCTTGACGTGTTATGCGTTATGTGGTATTTGGGCTGCAGTGTGTCTATTGAGCCATCGATTTTTTTATGTTTTAATATGAGAGCTAGCTGTCCTGCGATTGGCTGACAACCGGTTCAGGGTGCCCCCCGCCTACTGCCTGAAGACAGCTGGGATAGGCTCTAGCACCCTTTGTGAGGATAAGCGGATTGGAAAATGGATGGATGGATGAGAGCTAGCGGCTAGCTAGCAGGCTCGCTAGCTATCTGTTAGCATGCTTGCTGGCTCGCAGACTGGTGGATCGGCAGCGGGGCCATCCAATTTTCCACTGCCTCACTCCGTGTTGTGTTGTCGTACCTTTGCCCACAACACAGAGACACTTCAGGGATAACTATTTATTACACAAGCTAGTGGCTAGCTCGTTGGCTAATAGGCTCCAAAATGCTGTGGACTGGCAGCGGGGTCGTCCAAGATGTTATCACCGCTGTGCCGGTGTGTGTGTGTGTGTGTGTGTGTGTGTGTGTGTGTGTGTGTGTGTGTCTACATAACAGACACTTCAGGGAAAGTTAACTATTTATGAAACATAGCAGCACAAGTTATCGAGATCATAGCTCACACTGCATATATACTGTGTGTGACTTTTTATAATTTTTCTTTTTTCATTTACATTTGGCAGGCTTTTTAAGGGCACTCAAGTGTGATGTGTCAAATTTATAAGACTTTTTTTCCACTTTACAGCATCTTTAACAATGTCAGGATGAGTCAGCAGGCTGAAACTTGAAATCAAGGGTGTTAGGTCTAATTAGTGGTTGTGCCCCACGGGTAGGGTGTCAACTAAAAGCGGAAGTGAAATTTTGCAAGGAGCTCGATGAAGTAGTTCAAAGAATGCCAGGCAGCCAAAGAGTCGTGACTAGTGCAGATTTTAATGATCATGTTGGGGAAGGAACTTTAAAGGACGGATGATGGTGGACTTTGCCAAAAGGGTGGAAATGGGTGTAGCGAACATTTTCTTCCAGAAGGGGCGGCACCGTAGGATGACCTAGAAGAGCTTAGGTAGAAGTACACAGGTAGATTACATCTTGTGCAGACGATGTAATCTGAAGGAGATTAGTGACTGTAAGGTAGTGGTAGGGGAGAGTGTAGACAGACAGCATGGTGGTGCGTAAAATGACTCTGGTGGTGGTAAGGAAGATGAAGAAGACAAGGGCAGATCAGAGAACCATGTGGCGGAAGCTACGAAAGGAAGAGTGTTGTACAGCTTTTTGAGAAGTGGTGAGACGGGCTCTCGGGAGGCAGGAGGAGCTTCAACAAGACCACTTCAGCCAAGGTGATCAGAGATACAAGCAAGAGAGTAATTGGTGTGTCTACTGGCAGGAAAAGGGAGAGGCTGCCAGCCAAGAGCGCTAGAAGAAGACGTAAGAGAGGGTTGATACGGTAGATGTAGTGAGAGAAGACATGAGGGCAGATGGTGTGAGAAAGGAGGATGCAGAAGACACGCTTAGATGAACACCGATGACACTCTGTGGCAACCCTTAACGGGACAAACCGAAAGGAAAAGAAGTATGAGCCTAATAACAGGACTGCTTTTGGAACCTGATACTGTCTTACCCATATTCAATGTGGCCAAACCTTTTGCTAATAATACTCGAAGATTTGGCTGGCAACCGGTTCAGGGTGTCCGCCGCCTACTGCCCGAAGACTGCCACATTTTTGGAAAGTATGTAACATGGCTTGAACAATGGTGACTGATTGGTATCAAGATTAATTAGTAATACGAATCAGTCGCTCAAGACGTAATGGAAGATAGCTAACATACGTTACCACCATCACTTCAATGTCCCTGTAGTATCCAATTGTTACAAACCGCTTCACGACAGTTGTACTGCACTTGCTACACCCGCTCACCGTTTCTACCCCGTTTGAAAAGCACGCATCTGCGGTAGCTCCTCTTCCTGTCCGCTGTTGCTGTCTTCACCTGCATCAACCTGATGTTGCTGGAGCATGACTGTCACAGGGAGGAGTAGCAGCAGGAACTCCTTCCTGTGGGGGGGCAATTTTTCCAGCATCTTAGGTGAGATTTCATAATGTCTTGGCACGCAACTTCTCTGTACCCCCTCTTTTTTTTTTGTTTGTTTGTTTCTTTCTCTATGTTGCCACTGCTTCGACACACACAGCTTATACAAACTATGGAATGAAAGTAGCTGAGGGAGTGACACGGGTCTAAGCAGGTAAGGGGCAAGGCCACTTTTGAACTATAGTCGAACCTCGTAACAACATAACTCGAGGGGCATAACGAATCTGTACGTTATAATGGCAGTTTGTTGTAACCATTTCCGATAAAATGGCCGCCAACTATGATGTATTATACAGTGTGAACATTTATAGATGTATAAACATGTCAATTACAAATATGCGTATAGAGAATGAAGAAAAATGATTTTATAAGACATGAAACAAACAACTGTCGCGTTCCTGCTTCATCTCTGAAAACATTTGGTCAGCAAATGAAAAGTGACTTCGCAAATTTTGGATGTGCCGCATCCCGAAGTCGTTTACAATCATCTTTCTATCTGTTGGTCTCGAACCCTGCCATGATTTTGTTGCCATTACGGATGATTGTCGAAATCATCGATGTTGTCAATTCGTAGTCTCGGTTGAGCTTCGTCTTGGAGACTCGCTTTCAAAATCGAGAGACAATTTCAGCATGCGCTGACAGCGAAGTTTACTGTACATGTTTTCAGACCACGTGCTCGGGACCGTGCTGTGCCTACGGAATTACAAAAATGTACGAGGAGATCAGTAGCGTTGCTAAGCAACGGAAGGAAATCCCACATATTAATGCTAACAAATCTAACAGGCTGACAGAAATAAACTATGTCCGAGTAAAAATGACATAAAGTAAACAGGAAACAGGAACGAACTATGTGTGCTGATACAATTATCAGCACTTTATAAAAATGTAATCACATAAATGTATAATTGCTATGGGGTGTAACCATTCAGCATGTCCAAATTCTTGGCTGTACCTTAAGGTCACGGTTGCCTTCACTTTCACTTCGGCAAAGGAAAAACAAAAGAAAAAAAATCCCACTGCTTATCTTTTTGTGAAAAGAGAAATATATTGAATTGCATAGCATGGGGAAGAGAGGCTGCTTCAAAGCTTCACTGCTCTTTACATTCATGTCATACCGTTTCATCAGCGTTGGCAAGTTTGACATTCAGGCAAAAATGCATGTCAAGAGCTACGGCTTCCATGACGTCTGCCAGAAGCTGAGCAGAGCTCTGTTTGTTCATAGACTGGACATGTGGCTAAAACGTGAAGCGGAAACATCAACAAAAGCTGATTGCTTGTGTTATATTAGGGAGAAAAAAAAAAACATTTTGGGCTGCCCAAGAGCAATTTAGTATTTTCAATATTTTGGTATCAGTTTAACTATAGCTTCAAATAAGTTTTGTCTGAGAAGAACTACCCCCCCCTCCAAAAAAAAAAAAAAAAAAAAAATAAAAAAATCCACGTTTTTTTTTTT